GTGTGCCAGGTACTGACCATGTGCAGTTTTCATGGACTTCCCACAACCACACTGAAAGGTGGAGACTGTCTACTCCATTTTTCAGATGGAGAAATGAGGGTCAGTTACAGGGACCTGTGACTCACCAAGGGTGACGGGAAGAGATGGAGGTGATGGAGTCAGCATTTGACTCCTGATCTGATGATTGCACAGTCTACAAGGTTACAGGAGGCTGTCACCACCACTGGTGTTCCCAACTTGGATGACTTAGGAATTGACAGGGAGGGTCAGCCCAGGGCCTTGAGGCCTAGCCCACTAAGCTCACCACCACTCCTGCTCCCTCCCAGCTGTGACAGCTTAGCAGGGCCAGTGTCACATTTCCTTCTCAGCAGCTGAGCCAGCTGAGCTGATAATGGGGATCAGATAGGTGGAGGCCACACCCCTCCTCCTCCCCCCTCCCCCAGTGATCTGTGGCCTGGGATGACGGTAGCATGTACATCTAGGACTGGTCCACATCAGAAAATGGGGGTGAGGTTAGAAGGGAGAGGGCAGGTCAAAGATGGAGAGGAGAGGTTGACATGGAGGGGACCTTCCTTTCCAGCCTCTCCTGCTCTGCCTCTGCCTCTGAGTTTCTCCTTCCTTTGGTTTCTCTCCCCCTTTCCTCTCCATTTCTCTCTTCTCCACTGCCCCCACTACAAACCCTTCTTTGCCCCCTCCCCTCTCTGTGTCACTCTTTCCAACTCTCCCACTATTGCACCATCCATGTGACATAAGGATTTGCCATGAGCACACCTGAGACCACTCTTTAGAGACCCTCCTGCTTCCAGCCCCTTTGGCCCCCAGCTGTATCCTAGGGCCCCAGTCAGTGACAGATGCCAAGATACTGGCGACAATAGGGCATTGAGTGGCCACACACGGTAAGGCTGGGCCACCACGTGGTGCCAACTGAGCCTCCTACTTCTAGGCCCTTCTCCTTCATGCTGGGCACTCACTGTCTCAATTCATTCTCTCACTTCTCCCAGCGGGACCCTAGAATGTCTCTGCCTTAGAGTATCCCCATTGGTGTGCCCAGGCCTCCAAAAGCTTCCAGGCCCTTGGGTGACCTCTGACCACACCCTCTTCTCCTTTGTGCATTAGTTTCCCTTTTTCTAATGGGGAAACAGCATAAGGCCCAGAAAGGGGAAGGAACCAGCCTTAGGACACACAGCAGGCCAGCCAGGCTTGAGTTTCTCAGAGACAGGTGGGCGGATACCAGGGTCCAAGAGCGGAGAGGCCCGGGTAGGGAGGGAATGCTGAACATCCCCACATCCACTGTGCTGGCCATGACTCGAAAAAGGAGCCCAGAAAGAGACATAGGGTTCAGAGACACACACGCAGCGATCGAGAGATAGGAAGAGCGTAAAAGGGAGGCCCGGGCGCCGGGACCAGACAAAGGACGCGCGGTGGCGCGGGGAGCGGAGTCGCGCGGCAGGGGCGGGGGTGGAGCTGGGGTGGGACTATAACTGGCCAGCTCCGCCCCCGGGACACGCCCGGGCTGCCGAGTGGAAATCCGAGGGCTAGGGCGAGGCCGGGCCCCCCGGGGCCCTAGGGGGCGGGACCTAGATGGGCGTGGTAGGGCGTGGTCAGGCAGGGCGTGGCCGGACGGGCGGGGCTGGGCGCTCGGGAGCTGACCAGCTCGGTGGCTGCTGAAAGCATCAGGCGCGGAACGAGTGGCGCGGGCGGGCGGGCGCGCTCAAGGTCACCCCGAGGCCCAGAGTCCTGGCGGGGTGGGGCATTTGGACCTGGCCGAGGGGGTTGCTTAGCTCCCTAGCCCATCTCCCGGGAGGCTGGGGTCCAGGAGCCGGGAAGCGCCCTCACAACACACCGCGGTCCCTTCTTTCCCCTCCCCCTCCCCGCAGCCCGAGGCGCCCGCGCGAGGCTACGGCCCGCGAAGAAGCGCCGAGAAACAAAGGGACGCGGCAGCAGCGGCGGCGGGCCCGCGGGGCCTCCGGGCGCGCCCCCTCCTCTCCCCTCCCCGCTTGCCGCAAGGTCGACGGGCTCGAGGACGAGACGCCCGCCTCTCGGGCGCGGCCAAGGCCCGGAACGCGCGATCCGACGCCACCCGCTTCTCCAAGGCTCTTGGGGATGCTCTGCCGCCTTGGCCTGGCCCAACACTAGGGATGGGGCCCTGCATTTGCCTGGGAGGCCTGCGGGGTCTTGAGCCTGAATGGAGGAAGCATCCTTTGCCACCGCGGCCCCTCCCCCATCAGGCCTTCCGAAGAGGGTGCAATCTCGCCTCCAGGGTGTCGTAGGACGCCCCCTGAGTCGCAGCCTGGCTCCCCAAGGTCTCTCAGGCCAGACTCCGAGCACCCCCAACACTCTGGGCGCGGCTCTGCCCACTCTCAGGCCCGAGGTGCGGTCCTACCCCCCCCCACCCGGGCCTAACTAGGCCTGGTCCTACCCCCCCACCCCCGCCATCTCCATGGTGCCTGGACCCAACCCCTTCCCACCCCAGTTCTCTCTTGGCGACAGGAGAATACCTACAGTGACCATTCTTGTGTGCCCAGCGGGCGCGGTCCGTGTTGAGGGCGGCTCCGGGGGTCGTGCACTCCTAGGGGGGCGCCCGATGCTCACGCCGGGTTCCCGCCTGGGCGGCCTCTGGTGTGGCCGCTGCAGAGGCAGCGATGAAGGCGGCGGCTCCCTCGAGGGCCAGGGACGGGTCCGAGCCCGAGGATGAGCGCGCGGATGACCGGGCCCCGGGGTGGCCTGCGGGCGGCAGAAGATGGAAAGAGGGAGCGGGCGAGGGCTTGAGGACGCCCCCTGCGCGGCCCCGCGGGGCCCGGGGAGGTTGCGCTTCCCGACAGAGATCGCGGCGCTCTGCTTTTTGCCGCTACCCCTCAGTCCGGCCTGCCCGGTCGCGGGTGCTCAGTCCTCTCCCCTCGCCCGCCCTCCCTCCCTCCCTCTGGCCCGCGCTGCGCGCTCCGCGCTTTGGGCCGCGCCGCCGCCGCCCCCAGCCCTTTATAGCAGCAGCTGCCAGCGCCGGCGTCGCTTATTGGCCAGGGCCACCGAGCCCCGCCTCCTCACGGCGCCCGACGGCGCGGCAGGTGGAAAAGAACGCGCGCTGGCCTGGACTCAGCACTTGCAAAAAGCGCATCCTGGAGACTCGGGTTGCCAGAATCTTGTCCTCCTGCCCCCGCGGACCCTGCTTCCTGCGTCGGCACCCTTTCTTAAGCAGTTTTTCTGCCCGGGAGACCGTGTGGGCACCCCTTTCGTCCAGCACCTAGATCTGGAGGGGCAAAGAGAAAGCGGAGGTATTGTGACTCCAATGTAAGACCTTCGGAGGCACTGTACACCGAGGGGCCTGAAAGGGTCCAGGAACCAAGATTTCAACAGAGGCTTGGGTCCCCAGATTTGGAGGGGGGTCAGGTAGCCACATCAGGGCCATGGTGGTGTTGGTAACTAGGGTATCTCTAAATCTGTTTGCGGAAGGAAGCTAAGACTCTGTGGATTTTGAGTGGGTTTTGTGCCTCTGGGGTTCAAAAGGTGGGCACTGGCACACTCCAATGCTGGGGAATTCCAGGATGAAGAGATTTGGACCCCAGGAAATCACAGATCCTCCTTCTCCCTCTTTTGGTGCTGGGGATTGAACCCAAGTCCTCGAGCCTGCCAAAAACGCTACAACTACAATTCTACAACTCAAATTCTAAGATCCTTTGTAGATCTCACAAAACTCCAGTGGTGGTTCTGCCAGGTAAATGGCCTGGCTTTCTGGGCTTGTGATTGGTCCTCTTGTGGAGTTATGCTCCCTCAGCTAGGCGGGACCTGTCCTCTCTCTAAGGCAGTGTGTGTAGCACCGCTTCCTTTGGTGCGTGGGCACACTTGCGTGTTTACGTCGGGGCGGCAGCAAGGTGCAGAAGCTAGCCTTCATTGGGGTGGGGCAGGGAGCCTCCGAGCGAGACTTCAGCACCACAGACAGCGGTCCCACGGCTGTTTCGAGGGTGATGCTGGCAGGTAGCAGAGACCCCAGTACCGGAGATTCGCAGCCCCCACCTTTTCCTTGTTTGTATATGCACCTTTAGGCTCCAGACTGTCAGAATGCCATCAGTAAGCAGAGCCTAATTTGACCAATCAGGAATGGCCCTCGAGAGAACCAATTGTTGGAAGATGCCCTAGAGATTGAGCCAATGAGAGAGCGCGCACCAGAGGATGCTGCCACGCTGATGGAGAGGGCAGGCCAATCACAGTGGCCCGCGCAATCCGGGTGGTGGCAGTGCAGGTCCCCTTGGGCTTGCTGGGACGACTTGGCTGCCAACGCTGGGGACGCCAAGCGATGGCTGCTTTCCCACCCAGTGTTCCTCTCGGCTCTTGTCGGATCGGAAGCGGTGCAGGCAATGGGGGTACTCCGGGGCGCATAGACCCGATTGCGGTTCCCATGGAAACTGCTGGCTCCCGCCGTACAGGGAGAAAAAAGGGGACTAGTTTGAGGGGGGTGAGAGGATTCGCGGGGGCAGCCTCAGCAGGACTTGCTCTTCCTCGCCACTTCCCGTGCCAAGATAAAGTAGACCTGCGTCCAACGCAGAAACTGAGGCACAGGTGCGGCCCAGCCGGGGCCAATCTGCGCGTGGCGCCGCAGGGCTCCCAAGGGCACGTGCCCGGGTTCGCAGCAGCCGTCCCCTGAGTCACGTGGTGGCAGCCACCAGGGCCTACGCAGCTCGCGCGCCACCTGGCGGCAACGCTTCATTCCCCATTGCTCCCAGAGGTGGTTTCAGCAACATCCTCAGGGAAATGGGGCCAAGGCAGGCACCCAATTGCTGCCAACTCCCTTTTCCCCGTGGTTATCTTATCTGGGAACAAGCAGAGCGAGTTATTCCCCGGAGCTTTGCATTGGCCGGCTTGATATTTACCTCTCCTAGTTTTCTTCCTAGTCTATGGGCAACTACCACCTTCTCAGGGAGGCCCTCCCCGACCACCCACCTAAACAGCACGCCAGGAAACCAACACATCACTCCATTTTCTGCAGGGCGCTTGTCACTAGCTGTACATGTTTCATTTGGGGGGTTTACTAAACACGTTCCCAGCTCCTCCTGAGGGTGGATGGGGAATGAGTGTTCCATGATAGACTTTAGGAGGAGGCACCAGGATTCTGAGTCCTGGGAAATGCCTGGTGACCTCCAAGATCCCCCAGGCCCAAGGAACGAGTAGGAGCTGAGGCTCAAAGGAAAGGGTCCTCTAGGGTGTGTAGGGACATCTCCCTAACCCGGCCTTGCTCAGGAAGAGACCAGGTAGGTTGGAGAGAGAGGGCCCCCTCAATCATCCAGACCTAGGGGAAGGGCATCTCCCTTCTCGCACTTTAATCTTTCTCTGCTCTCGACACATAGTTCAGGTAGCGCAGCCCCAGGCACCAGCTCTAGAGGGGGTTGGGGCGGGTGGGGACCTGCCCAGGGGGCCCAGCCCTGGGAGGGGGTGGGGGCGCCTCCTTCCGGCCTGCGGTCTGGGCGCCCCGCGGCTGTCCAGGCCCAGACAGGCCCGAGTGCAATGTCCGAGTGGACGAATAAATAGGGGCGGTCAGTGGTCGAGTATGTCAGGTAGGCTTATGGTCCGGGTGGCTTTTAAGCGTGTGGAACTTGACGCTGTCAAGCTTCTCAAAGCGCTTCCCGCATCGCTCGCACGTGAAATTGTATTGAACCTCAGCCGTGTGCTTCTTCATGTGCCAGTTGAGCGAGGCGCGCTGCCTGCACTGGTAGCCGCAGATCTCACACCTGGCGAAAAGTAAGTAACCGGTGGGTCAGCGGGTGGGACTAGGGGGGCTGGCAGCCTACAGAAAGGGGAGGTGCCGTTGCGGTGGTAGCACAGGTGGAACTGCATGGAGGGAAAGCCTGTGGATGCCACCAGGTAGGCTCCCCAACCTCCCAGACCCTTTAGGGGACAACCTGTCACTCACTGCAGGGGCGTTTCACCCGTGTGTGTGCGCCGGTGAACCTCCAGGTGGTTCTTCCTCTTGAAGGACTTGCCACAGGTCTCGCAGGTGAACTCACGGACACCTGGGGGCAGCAGAGATGTGACTGAGGATGCTGCCACTGGGAAGGGGGGGGGAAGCGGGTTTCCCCCAGTGCTGACAGGCCCAACCCCATGGCTTCCCAGGGCTCAAAAAATGTCAACCTATAATGACAGCAAATGATACGAAGTGGCAGCTCATCACCCAGTCACAGGCCCAAGCACAGCTGGGGTTCAAACTTTGGTCTCTAAGGGGCACAGGATGCAAAATGTCAAGATGGATCTGAATTTGTCCCCAGTGTTTGAACTTTGGGTAATTTCACATAAAAACCCAAAGTTGTGGCTTCTCAAAATATTGGGGGCTCTGAACCTCAGAGCTGTGCCCTCCAGCTTCCCCAGCCATACAGAAGTATCAAATCTTGCCCTGGGGTAAACCCGGAATTCCAGTCCTACACTCTGCCCAACTCTCCTCCCTCCTGTGGCCTGGGTGGCCCCACTGGCTCCCATCTATGACCTGGGGTGCTGCTATAGGACACACCTGGAGGAGAGATGGTGGTATCACCTTTGGTGTTTAGTATTTCTGAAATATTGGCTTTTATTTTTTTAAGCAACTTGGGTTTTTCAGGGTGGGGACAGTGATAAAAAAAAAAAAAAAAAAAAACTACTGTGATATGGCAGGCATTCTGAGGGCTCATCAGAAGTTGGTTCACTGTCCCTGCTCCACCCCGAAGTCCTGCATGAAATCTTGTCAAGGGCCTGAGCAGAAAAGTCAGGTCCTGCCTGGCCCACCTGTGTCACTATGGTTCAGCTTACTGAGCACATGGAGGCTCCAAGAGGGGTAGTCCTGTGTCTGAGGCACTAGTGCTGGGGTTTAACCTTGGCTGCTCCAGCCCTGGCTCCCAGGTCCCTGCCTGTGTCCCCAGCTGGTCCTGCCAGCTGGCCCAGGGCCTGACCTGAATGGATGATCATGTGTCGCCGCAGGTGATTGGATAAATAGAACTTCTTGCCACAGCCAGGGTGAGGGCACACTTTGGTCTTCCCTTTCCGGTGCACGAGGTTGACATGGTTCTGGGGGCAAGAGGGGCAGGAATGGGTGCTGGGCCCACCTTAGGGCCTCCTGAAGGTAGGGGGAAAAGAGGGCTGCTGGGAGGTAGGCAGGATCAGCTTAGGCAGCTAAGAGGGAAGGGTGCTCTTGCCCAGCTTCCAGACTGCTACAGGTACACATGGGACACAGAGCGGGTTTACCAAACACCTGCTGTGCCAGGCTCTGGACTGGAATATCCATTAACCCTGGGAAGGGCCTGGTGACCATCAGCTCAGTTATAGACAGGGAAACGGAGGCTGCAGAGGCTCAGTGGTTGGACACATGTCTCAGAGGTGGGAGTGGAAGGACTAGGATGGAATCCAGGGCTATCATGTGCTATGCTGTCCCTGGGCATTTAATTCATTCATTCCTTTGTTCTTTCATTTTTTTTAAACTCACTAGATGGTCTTATACACAGTGGGTGTTCAGTTCATGCTTAATGAGGACATGGCTTGGCAAATCCAAAGGCCTACTAATCCTGCCTTCTATGCCAGGTGTGGGGATATGACAAAACCCCATCTCTGCCGTCAGGGTTCCAAATCCAGTCTCCAGCGGGCAAACTACAGATCCAACCTCCTGGTGGTACAGTGACCCAAGTCTCCCAGGCCTGACTGGCCCTGGGGGCTGGAATGGCTTGCTGATGGAGAGCCACGGGGAGGAAGCACACGGAGCTAAGAACAAGAGCATGGCCAGGGCAAGGCGGGAGGAGTTCAGGAGGTCAGGAGAGGAGGAACTGTGAGCAGACAGTTATGCCTTATCTCTGTGGGAAGAGATAGCTGAGGCGGTGAGGGGTCTGACAAGGTATCAGGATGCACAGAGGATTTGAAGGAAGCTCCTGAGACCAGTTGGGGCCAGATGGGCTCATGAAGATGAATCACAGGCCAGTGGCACACAGCAGGGCCCTCCATGAACCACTTGCCCAGACCAGCACACAGGTAGCCAGACACAGGAACAGGCCCACCAGCCTGCCCTGGGTGGTGGCCTCACCTGGAAGCTGCCGAGGGCCACGTAGACCTGGCTGCAGCCCTCATATGGACAATGGAACATCTCAAGCAGGCCGTCGGCGTCCATCACCCGGGACCGCTTGCTCCGCCGCCTCCTAGAGAGGGAAGGGGCCCTTGGTGTCAGAATGCCAAGCCCAGGCAGACCATGAGCCACTTCTTGCCCTTGTGCCCACCCATCCAACTCAGCACCCACTTCTCAGGCTCCTTGGGGATCTCGTAGATGATGGCCGACATGTCACTGCCGTCTAGCTCCTCCCCATCTGCTTCTGCCTCAGGCTCTGCACTCTCAGGCACGGTCGCCACCAGCTCTGCCAGCTCTGTGGCCACAGGCTCCTCCTTCTCCTCCTTTTTGAGCATGTATAGATCCTCCTTCTCTATGGGGTGGACACAGGGCGGTGTCCATGGGGGGCTAAGGCTGTCTAGAAGCCCTTCTCCAGGGCCACTCCTTCCCCTCCCCCTCCAGGTCCCACCCGATCCCTGCCAGAGGCCAAAGTGGGCCCTCCAGACCTTTCTTGGTCTCGATGCCGGCTATGGAGGTGGTGTCCATGGTGCTGGGCTGGCTGCCCTCAGGCTCTGTCTGGGTGTAGGCTGCCACACCCTCCATCATGGCACAGGGCACCTCCTCGCCCAGGCCACTGCTTGGGGCGCTGCTGCCCGAAGCCACGTTGAGGTGGATGCCCTCGGCCGTGAGGGTGTTGTATCCAGGGCCCGCGATGATGATCACCTGGGAGCCGGGCACCATGCCTGGCACAGGGCAGCTGGCTACTACCTCGCCCAGTGCCTCCTGGGGCACATTCTCAAAGAGGGCGCCGGGGCCAGTACCCACTTGCACAGGTACTGGCACACACACCACTGTCTCGAGGGCTTCAGACCCACTGCCTGCAGGGTTGGGGCACAACGGGGTGCCCTGCTCAGCCAGGCTTTCCACTTGGTGGACGTCGAAGGGGATGTGCACACCTTCCTGAGTGATAAGCCCACTGCTGCCCACTGGGCTGGTGGGGGTGACTGCTGCTGCAGCTGCTGAAGCCTTGGCTGGCTGGCTCTCTGGGGGCTCCTCAGAGTCGGAGCCTGAGCCAGAGCTGGGGGAGTCAGAGCTGCCAGCCACCTGGCCATTGCCCGCTGTGATGAGAGAAGAAAGGAGGCAGTTACGATGGTGGCAGCAGCAGCAGCAGCTAGTATTTGTTGAAGGGCCACCAGGGGCAGGGCACTGTAACCCTCTCTCTCACTGCCAAAAAACAGTGGTCATTTATCAATTGCCACTGTCCCTGGCTGCACCAAGGCACCTGACTCAACTGACCACCCCAGCTTCTCTGATGTGCTGTCCTCCCTGGGCCTCTAGCTCTACATCCTTGTTTTCTGGGCTACCCTGGCAGCTCCTTCCTAGTCTCTTCGGCTCATTCATGTCTTTTTTTTTTTTTTTTTTTGTGGTGCTGGGGATTGAACCCAGGGCCTTATGCATGCTAGGCAAGCACTCTACCAACTGAGCTATCTCCCCAGCTCATTCATGTCTTGAAGGCCCAAGCCAGGGCCTCATCCCAGCCCTCAGCTCATCCCCGGGTCTCACCCAGGCTGATGGCATTAAATGCCACTCTATTCTCCACACTAACTGGTTTAATTCATTACTTTCATTCCAACACTTTAATACAATTTGGACACTGTCTACCTGGAGATAGCCTCAAATCACACAAGTTAAGGGCTCTGTCCCACAAGACTGTCCCAACTTCCAAGGCCAGTTGCAAGTCCTGGGCCACTCTGTATGTCTGACCAACCAACTGTGATCAAGGGGTTCCTATGACCTCTTCAGGTTTAATAATTTGCTAGAATGACTCAAAGAACTCAGAAAAGTACTCTACTTATCACTACAAGCCTCTTATAAAGGATACAAGTCAACCATAGTCAAACGGAAGAGAGGCATTGAGGAGGGGGCACAGAGTTCCACGCCCTGTCTGAGGACACCCCTCAGAGCTGGTGATGTGTACATCAAGCGGGGAGCTCCCAGAAACTCACTCTTCAGGGTTTTTTAATGACCTGACCTCCAGCCCCTGCAGTTTGGGGAGTGGGGCTGAGAGTTCCCACTTCTGATCCTAAGTTTGGTCTTTTGGGTAACCCCATCCAGAAGATATGTAGGGGCCCACCCTTAATCACTTTATTAAGATAGATTCCGGGGTGTTCCAAAGGGGCTCTTTGTGAATAACAAAAACCTCTATCACTCAGGAAATTCAAAGGGTTTTGGAAGCTCTATTAAAAGGGCTGAAGGGCCTGGGTTTGTGGCTCAGTGGTAGAGTGCTCGTGTAGCATGCATGAGGCACTGGGTTCGATCCTCAGCACCACATAAATGTAAAATAAAGATATTGTGGTCCACCTAAAACTAAAAAATAAATATGTAAAAAGGGGGGCTGGGAACATAGCTCAGTGGTAGAGCACTTGCCTAGATTGCCAGAGGCCCTAGGTTCCATCCTAGGACAAGGAAGGAAGGAAGGAAGGGAGGGAGGGAGGGAGGGAGGGAGGGAGGGAAAAGAGAAGGAAGGAAGGAAGGAAGGGAGGGAGGGAAAAGAGAAGGAAGGAAGGAAGGAAGGGAGGGAGGGAGGGAGGGAGGGAGGGAGGGAGGGAGGGAAAAGAGAAGGAAGGAAGGGAGGGAGGGAAAAGAGAAGGAAGGAAGGGAGGGAGGGAGGGAGGGAAAAGAGAAGAAGGAAGGAAGGGAGGGAGGGAAAAGAGAAGGAAGGAAGGAAGGGAGGGAGGGAAAAGAGAAGGAAAGAAAGAGGAGAGAGAGAGAGAGAGAGAGAGAAAATAAGTCAATAACCAGGGAACCAAATCAGAGGATTAGTTCCAGGACACCTCCGTAGATACCGGAATATCAGAACTGGAGGATTCTTAAGTCTTTTACATAAAATGGCATAATATTTGCACAGACCTATGCACATCCTCCCATAGACTTCAAATCATCTCTAGATTACCTATGACACCTAATATGATATAAATGATTCCTGGTTGGGTGAACCCATGGATAAGGAACCTACTGAGATGGAGGGCACCCACTTGCACAGGTACTGGCACGCACACCATACATGTTTTTATACAACCATGTGGGGCCTGATGACTCCACGTGCACCCTGGACCTCCCTGTGGAATTCTAGGCTTGCACCTCACAGCTCCCTGGGGAGCTCTCGCAGGCATCTGACTCAGCTCAGCAACTCTGGGCTCTTCCTTACTGGATCTTCCCTCCAAAAGAGCCTGTGCTGCTCATGTGTGTGCCTCTCAAAGGGTGATAGCTCTGTCTCTCCTGGTACTCAGCCAAAGTCCCGGGCTAACCTTGACTTCTCTCTCACACCCACTTCCAATCTGTCAGCAAAACCTGTTGGCACTGCATCCAAAAGTCATCTGTCCACAGCCCAAATGCTTCTCCTCCACCCTCTGCAAATGCTGGTTATGGCTCCAATCATCCCTGGACAGGACCAGAGTAGTCCCTTCTCTTTGGTCCCCTGGTTCCAGAGAACCCACTCATCACTTCTTGTGGATAAGCCAGCTGTTCCCAAACCCAGCTCTTCTTCTTAAAACCTGGGTGGACTATATCTCTCAGCATCCCTTGCAGCATGTCAATGTAGCCCATTGGCTGGTTCCAGCAAGGGAACAGAAGTAGATGTGATCTCTCAGGGCCCAGCCCCTACCTGTCTGTCCTGATCAGCCAGCCAGGACCCAGAAGGAGGCTAAAGACACAAGATAGAAGAACCTGGGTCCCCACATGCTCAGCATGGTGGCACATGCCTGTAATCCCAGTGGCTCAGAAGACTGAGGCAGGAGGATCTTGAGTTTGAGGTCAGCCTCAGCAACACAGTGAGGTCCTAAGCAACATAGAGGCTGAGTATGTGGCTCAGTGGTTAAGCAACCCTGAGTTCAAATCCTGGTATCAGGAAAAAAAAAAAAAAAAAGAATCTGGGTCCCCACGTGGAAGGCAGAGCCTATGGATTGGGGCACTGGGCTTTGTGTGAAGCAACCAACGTATGCCTGTTTCAGCAGCTGGCATCTGTCAATCAAAATCCTGACTCACTTGATGGAGCAGTCGAAGCCCTTACTATGGCTACACACCTTGCACTATCACATGCCCCTTCCCCATTACCTCCTCTCCAGATGCCCCACTAGCTCCTCAGAGACACTAGCCAAGTTCCTGTCTCAGGGCCTTTGCACTTGTCATTCCTTCTGCCTGAATTCCCTTCTCTCAGATACACGAGAAGGCTCCCTCCCTCATGTCTATCAGACCTTTCATCTAGTGATGTTTCAGGGAGGCTCTCCGGACCATCTTGTCTCAAAAAGCCCCTTTTTGCTCCTTTCTTTTTTCCCAAAACACCTACCACCTTCAAGTATATTCTATATTTTATTTACTTATCTTGTTTATGGTCTGCTATTTCTCTGCAATGTAAATATCTCAAAAAAGAGGTCCCTGGGCAGGGCACATTTGAATCAAAGAACTACTTTTAGACCAGCACTGTGATGAAGGCAGGGGCCAACATCTTAGCCAGGGAAACTAGGAATGAGAAAAAACAAATGACTGCCGCCTCGGTCACACATCCCCCCCCCCCCTTTGGTGCTAGGGATCTAACCCAGGAGTGCTTTACCACTGAGCTACATCCCCAGCCCTTTTTGTTTGTTTTTGTTTTTTAATTTTGAAACAGGGCCTCACTAAGTTGCTGAGGCTGGTCTCAGAACATGCAGTTCTGTCTCAGCCTCCCATGTCGCTGGGATTACAGGCATGTGCCACCATGCATGGCACCTCGTTAGTCTTGTGACACAGTTGGGGCATGTTGTTTGGAGACCATGGGTCCTACAGTCCTAGGGTCATGTAGAAAGTACAGACTTCCCAGGTTAGAGCAGTGCCTGCCTCTAGCTAGGTGGGCACAGCGCTCATGTAACCTCTCTGTCCTGGGGATTGCTGTGGCACCTGCTTTGAAAGAGCATTTGGGGTATTAATGAGAAGACATACGTACAGGGTTTCAACAGAAGAGGGCTCAAAGAGGGCACCGAGTGTTCTTTGTCTGTTTTTTGCAGTGCTGAGATGGAACCCAGGGCTTTGAGCATGCGAGGCAAGTGCTCTACCACTGAGCTACAGTCCCCAGACCTTTTCATTTGGGGAACAGGGTGTTGCTAAGTTGTCCCGGCTGGTCTTGAACTTGAGATCTTCCTGCCTCAGTTTCCCGAGTACCTAGGATTACAGGCACGTGCCTCTATACCTGACTAGAGATGGAGGAAACTTCTCAGAGGTGGGGCCTACCAGGAGGTCTTTCAGTTACTGGGGGCATGCCCTGCAGGAGACTGTGGGATGCCGCCGGCACCTTCCTTGATCTCTTTTGCTCCCTGGCCATCAGGTGAGTGATTCTGTTCTGCCACACACTCCTGCCACTGCCATCCAGACCCCACCAGAGGTCTGAAATCAGGGTCAGCCTGACGGTGAACAAGAACCTCTCAAGCTGTGTGTGTAAGGTGTAATGACCCCCTCCTCTTCATGAGTAGGTCACCTCATGTACTGGTTACACATGGGCATTGAGACACCCAACCCGAACCCAGGCCACTCCTGACGGCCCAGGCCTGACAGCAAGCTGGGGAGAGAGGGTTTCAGCCTCTCCTGCTGTCCTCACATCTGCAGCACCCCCTGAAGGAGGGGGCAGTCACCAAGAAAGCTGGGGGCAGGGCCAGGACACGCATCTGGTACACCTAACTCTGAAGTCCAGCTTAAGTCCAATGCTGAACCTCTCTCCAGATAATAAAAGCATTAGTGACAGAAATAGCCACGCAACCCTGACTTCCCACAGCCCAGGCAGTAGGTCTCCTGACTTACTCATAGGTGGCAGGGACACCAAGCAGAGCAGGTAGGGGGTACTGCTGGGGGAGCAGGGTTGGGATACGGACAAGGTCACTTCTCTCACGATGCCCTTAGCAGATGTGGCTAATGGATCACAGTGCTCATTCCTATGAGCCCAGATCTGGCAGTTACAATAGGTTTGGGGAAGGAGGGGCTCCTCTGGGTACTACCCCACCCCAGCCTGACCCATCGCCAGATGGGCCAGTCACGTTACTCCTGGGGTCCAGGGTTCATCGACCATGAAGCAGGGTTGTGAAGGGCTGGAGGGATGATTCAGGGCGGCAGAGGGCAGGGCTGGAATGAGCACATCGAGGGGGCTCTGACCGGCAGAGGAGGGTGGCGTGCTGGTCATGAGCACAGGACACCCGCAAGCTGGGAGCCTGGCCGCTGCACAGTGGGATGACCGTGGGCGTGGGTGCCCACCAGGAACACCTCTCACCCCCAGCTTCCTCCTGGCCAGCTGGGATGCCACCTGCTCTGTGATGCCTGCCAGCACGAATCAGCCCTGATGATTGACCCCACCCTCAGCCCCGGCAGGTGCCTGGCAGTGGGCCCCATGCTCCTCTCACAGCCCCACCAAGCCCTGGAGGCAGCAGGCTCCTTTGCCGCTCATGGGGTCTCCTCTGCTCCCCACATGGCCAACTGGGCCTTCCACACTGAGTCCCTCCTGGCCCAGTAGGACCAATGTGGGACAGAAAAAGAGGGGAGGGAGAGGGGCAGGGACTAAGAGCTGGGGAGGGAGGTGGAAGGAGACGGAGAGAGCAGACTCAGGAGGGGAGAGGGAAGCAAAGAGAGTGAGGGGGAGAGAAAATGGGAACCCTGGCAAGACTGAGGGGAAGAGAATGAGCCAGAGTGACAAATTTGAGTCACAGAAAATAAAAAAGGTGCTAGAGGCCAGGAGGGCACCATCCACCTTGCCAAGCTGAGCCTGTGCCCAGAACCCGGGTTCCACTGAAGCTGCCCAGCCAGGTCAAGTGGGGACCATCTCTTCTACTCAGGCTCTGCAAGGACTCAACAGATCTCTGAAGGGCTCAACCAAGTCACTGTCCCTGAAGCTAGTGCCAGTGCGGCTGCTGTTACATTTGTGACACTGAAGTGAGGCTGGAGGGCAGCCCAGGTCCATACCCAGGAGGGACTGCAGAGTCCCCAAATGCCACAGTCACCATGTACCCTCGCCCTGAGGACCCACCTTTGTCACTTTCGGGGTCCGAGTCACTGAGGGGCTTCAGCGGGGAGTGCAGGTCCTGGAAGTAGCGGTGGCCGGCTTCACACTGCCACACTGCTGTGGTGTACAGGCCAAAGGTGGGGTCCAGCTCGGCAAGGTGTGGCTCATATGGGCAGCGGTGCTTGTGGTCCTCATACCAGATCACCACATTCTTCAGGCAGTTCACGTTGCGTCGCCGCCCTGCAGAGAAAGGGCCCAGGACAGGCATGAGCAGCCATGCCCACTGTCCACAGGGACCCGGGGCACTATGCCTTCATGGGCTGGAATACCCTCATAAGCCCTGCACCCAGTTTACAGGGAAGGAAACTGAGGCTCAGAGGCAAGAACCCTAGAGATGACAGGGACTGGCCAGAGACTCTTCACTGGCTAAGTGGAGCCATGTGCCCAATGGAGCCCGGCATGTAGTAGGTACATAGTAATCGTTAGCTGCCTGGTACTGTAATCATTCTCATCAATACTTGGCCCTAGAACCCAGCAGTCCCTGGGCAGTGGTCTCCTTGGCTCGTGCCTGTCCCTCCTCCACAGCCACCAGAAGGCACCTGATTAGAGCACCCCTCTCTCAGAATCCACTGTGGCTGCCCTCACTGGGGTAAAAGCAAACATCCACCCTATGACCCACAAGGCCCTATACCATCTGCTCAGTCACACCCCCTCTCTCAGCTCCTCCCACTCCTATCTCTCCCCTCCATCCACTTAGTCTCCTAGCTACTCCTTAAATGAGCTTGGTGTGGGCCTGGCCCAGGGCCTTTGCAAGGACCATGCCATCTTCTTCCAGAGACCTGCCTTGCTCCCTTTCTCTCCACGCAGGTTTCTCATCAAATGTGCCCTCCTCTGAGAGGCCACCCCACACCCAGGTTACTGAAGCCAATCCCTCCTGACTCCCAGTACTGGGGCTGGAACCCAGGGCTGTGTAAATCCTAGCCTAGCCAAATTTACTTGTTTCTCTTTTTCTCCTGAGAGCACCTAGAGACTGTCTAGGGTTCCTTGTTTGAAGGTCCCTGGTCTGACTCCCTCACTAGAATGTCAGCTTCTCAAAAGCAGAGACATTTATCTGTTTTGTTCCCGCGGGTCTCCACAGGGTCAGGTGCTCTGTAGTGCTCTGCAAACATTTGCTGGATAAGAGGGTGCTACGAGGGGGTTATCATGTGGGGCCAGAAGGCCTGGGTTCCAATCCCAGCTTTGCCACTTCCTAGCTGGGTGATTTCGGCCAAATGACTTGACTTCTCTAAATCCTAGTTGCCTCCTCTGGACCAGGGGAGAATAAGAATTCTAGCTGGCTATGATGGCACAATCCTATAATCCCAGTGACTTGGGAAGCTGACACAGGAGAATCATAAGTTGGAGACCAATCTCAGCAATTTAGCAAGACCCTCAGCAACTCGGTAAGACCTTGTCTCAAAATAAAAAATAAAAAAGGCTGGGGTTATGGCTTGATGGTAGAGTGATCCTGGATTTAATGCCCTGTGTTAACAAAAATAGATAAAGAAATAAAGAAGAATCCCATCTCTGAGGGCTCCCAGGGAGGACAGAGGAAGCAAAGACATCTATGCAGCACCGAACAGGGCTTGATACACAAAGTGTGCCCGAGATGAGACCTGCAACTAGGGTGATGGTCCAGGACTCCTGGCCAGTAGGATGGAGGTGTGACCCCTAACTTTGGGATCAGGAGATGAGGCGGCGGCCCAGAAGAGATCCTTAGGCCTAGGGATTACACCCAGGGTCTCCAAGTCAGTGGCAATCCCTAACCCTTTAGGATTTCAAGGTCATAGTCTCAGCTCAGCCCCACCTCCAGAGAATGGAGAGAAGTGGGGGAGGGGGGGGCGCTCACTGCTACCCTAGGTTCTCCCTTGGACTTCTGGCCTTCACCCTGATGGACATAACCTGAGACCCACAGTCCCAGGGTTTGGAGGTCATACTAGGTTCAGACTCCTACCAACTTGTGGCCAGCAGGCAGGAGGGCTGAGCTCCAGGCTCTGTCCCGCCTCGCTCTACTGTGGGCTGGCACATAATGCACCCTGAGGTTTAGATAAGCTGTCCCCTCTGCTTGGCTCTCCCTGGCACGTGTCCCTTTCCTCCCCACCTTGGCTACAGCTCCACTTACTTTTTTTCCGCTTTGGCTTTTTGGGGACTTGCTCCCAAGGCTTCCTGCAACAGAGAGAGGCAATATGGGTAAACGCGGATCAAGGCTGGGCCATGCCCTGACAGCTGCTAAGAAATGACAGCAACTTGTCTGGCTCTAGGTAGAATGTGAGCTTCTGTTCACCTGCCCAACTCCAGCACCATGTCAGCAGGCGCCTGGCTTGGGCTCCCTCCTCCACTGACACCTGCCCTCGGAGGGAGGTCTGATATCATCACTCATCTCACACACAGGGAAATTGAGGCTCAGAGGGGTGAGGCCATCTGTCCTGGGTCCCACAGTCAGGAAATGGGAAGGGGAAACAGAAAGTTGGTGTGTCAGGCAGAGTTCCAAGAGAACTCTCAGGGTGCCTGTCTTGGGGAGCCCTGTACAGTAGGCCCTCTGTGTGTGTGGGTTCCACATTCTTGGATTCAACCAAGGATGGAAAATATTTGGAAAAACATTGCATCTATATTGAACAGGTACAGACTTTATTCTCTAATACAGTTTAACTATATACATGGCATTTATATTGTACTAGGTTTTCTAAGTCATCTAGAGATGATTTATAGTCTATGGGAAGATGTGCATAAGTTCTATGCAAATACTACACCATTTTATTTAAGGGACTTGAACATTTAAGGATTTTGGTACCTACTAGGGGTCCTGGAAACAATCCCTGTGGATACCACGTAAAGACACTCTCATCCTCTCCCCTTGAGGTGGGCAGGTCTGTGGGTATGATAGGATGCCTCTCATGGGTAGGTAACTTGGAATTAAAAGAGGAAATATGGTTAATCAGGGGAAGCCTTCAAAGAGTCTAAGCCCTGCTGCAGTCAACAATGGAAAGATGGGGACAGGAGGGGGCCCATGGAGGTACCATATGGCAAGGACCCAAGAGTGGCTTCTAAGACTGAGTGATCACAGCTGACAGCCAGCAAGACAGCAAAGACCTCAGTCCTATTATCACAAAGAAACAAATTCTTCCAGTGACACGAAGCAGTCTGGAGGGAGATCTTTCCCTAGAGTACTTCCAGGTGAGGTCACAGCTGGTGGATACCTTGATTTCAGTGAGACCCTGAACAGAGGAGCCAGTGCCCGGCTCCTGATCCTCAGAAAGTCCAGATGATAGATTTGTGCGATTTTAACAGCTAAATTTGAGGCACTTGTTTTGCAGCAATAGGACTCAGAGCTGCTCAGGACCCATGCTGCCCCTGGAGTCCTGGTAGAAGAGTGTCAGACCCAGCTGGACGACTGCTTCGGACCTTCCTAGCCTGCTCTGCAAGGGCCCCAGGCTGCCCTCCACAGTCTGCTCCTGCAGACAGCTTGGGTTCACCTGCCTGCTGACCATCACACTTAGGTTGAAGCCCAATGACTGTGCTCTAAAGCCTTGGGGACCCAAGGTAAGGCCGGGGGGGGCCCCATAGCTTCCTGCACAAGGATAGCTGCCAGACCTTCCAGGCAGGTTCCTGACCCCATATGGGTCACCCTACTGTCACCTAGCACCTGGTTTATAAATTGAAGGCCAGTACCTTGCAGCCAGTCTATCTGAGTCTCTGGGGGCCCTCATCTCCCTTCCTCCCACTCCACCTGCCTCCTTGTTCTTTTTTTTTTTTTTAAAGATAGCCTTTTTAATATTTATTTTTTAGGTGTAGATGGACACAACACAATACCTTTATTTTTATGTGGTGCTGAGGATTGAACCCGGGTCCTGCCCGTGCTGGGCGAGCGCTCTACCTGCCTCCTTGTTCTTCCTCTTCTATATCCCAGCAGCAGGCTCCATGACCTTGGGCAAGTGACATCCCCTCTCTGTATTCATCTGCAGCATAGGATCCTAACAGCACTTTTCTCTTGAGGTTGGCTGCTTTCCTGGTCTCTATTTCCCATGCTCACCCCTACAGCCTCGGTGTAAGGCGCTGTTAAAAATGTTGGGCTGGGGGGTGGTGTAGCTCAGTGGTAGAGTATCTAACTAGGATATGTGAGGCTCCCTGGGTTTAATTCCCAGAGACAAAAAAAAAAAAAAAAAGTTTTTTTATTTTCTTCAATATAAAAACTCACACAGAAAAAATTAGAGTGCCCTCTTTGGACCTACAACCAGCTTGAACTGTCAACTCTTGGCCAACCTTATTTCGATTCATACTTCACCCGTTCTTTCTGCCACATACACCCTGAACAGCGCTTCTTTTAGAATATAAGCCAGACCATGTCACTTCTCTGTTGAAATTCCCTTGCTTAAGGAGAGCAAAAATTCCTGCCAGGGCTCTCCTCATTGGGAGGAGAGTCTGGAGTCCTCTCAAGGCCTGCCAAGGTACTGCAAGACTAGTCACATCATCTCTCTGTCTTTGACTTCTCTTCTGCAGGACCTTTGCACTTGCTATTCCCTCCGCTCAACACTCTTCCCTGGGATATGTGCATGGCTCCTCTCTCAGGTCTTTTACTCAAAGCTATCTTCTCAGAGTGGCCCACCCTCAGGCCCTATTTAAACTTCCAACTTAGGGGCTAGTGGGATGGCTCAGTGGTAGAGCACTTGCCTAGTATGTGTGAGACCCTCAGTTCAATTCTCAGTACAACAAAAATAAATAAATAAATAAAATAAACTTCTAACTCACACTCGTGATTTTTTTTCCTATACTGTGCAATTTGTTTATTATTTTCTTTTTTGTGGTACTGGTGATTGAGCACCAAGGTGCTCTACCACTGAGCCACATCGCAAGCCCTATTTATTTATTTTAAATATTTATTTTTTTGTTTTAGGTGGACACAATATATTTATTTTTATGTGGTGCTGAGGATTGAACCCAGTGCCTCGCACATGCCAGGCCAGGGCGCTACCACTTGAGCCACATCCCCAGCCCCCTTTTTATTTTTTTATTCTGAGACAGGTCTAAGTTGCTTGGGGCCTCACTAAATTGCCAAGGGTGGCCTGGAACTTACCATCCTCCTGCCCCAGCCTCCTGAGTCACTGTGAGTACAGCATATGCCACTGCACCCAGCCTTGTTTCTTGTCTGTAGTAGACAAGCCACTGCATAAGCCATTCCCTCTGTCCAGTAGAATATCAGCTTCATGAAGCATGCATTTTTGTTACTGCTCCTAGCATTTCTGAACATACTCTTGGGCATAAAAAGTCTTGCCACCCTAGGGAGGGGGCGAGTACAATTCAGCAGGATTTGATTGATTCTTAACCCTCAGGAACATGCTCTAGACAAACATGCATATGGGTGAAAGTGAAAACCAGAGCAGAACATTTCATTGATTGCGATTTTTTTCGCAATAAAAACAGGAATAGATATCTTCATCATAACAGCTAATATACTGCCAGGCGCTGTTCTGAGTTCTTTGCACATTTTAACTCACTTAATTGTCACATTAGCCTATAAGGCAGGAAGGGAAAAACTCCATTCGCTTTTTCTCAAGTTTGAGATTTTGCAAATCTCTCCCTCCACTTCACTAGCTATTTCAGGATTTCCCCTTCACTTGAGTCTTTCAGGGCTGAAATGCTCCCCAGGAAACAGAAGGAGTAGTTGTCCCCAGGAACCAGAAGGTGTAGATGTGGGGGGAGCCTAGGGTTGAGGGGATGGGGTCATATTTAATCCCATTTGGGACACCAGGATCTCTTGAGGGGAAGAGCAGGATGTTCCAGGATGTCCAGAACCCAGCCGCGGGTGTGGGTTTTCGGAAAACGTGACCACAGATCCCAAGGCCCAGCGGGAACCTGGAGCCCGAGCGAGGCCTCCAGGGGAGGGAGCGCTCTTGCAGGGATTGGGTAGTTAGAACGCCTGGAGGTGCGGCTCATCCTAGGATTGGGCAGCCAGAGCTTGAGAGGGCGGGACCGAGAGACCAAAAGGCGGGTGGAAAGGCAGGGAGCATCTTAGGATTGGGCAGCAGGAGCCATGGGAGGCGGAGCCGCGAGCCCAGCGGGTGGCGGCACCAGTAGTCCGGGACCCAGACCAGCAGTTTGGCCCCTGGGCGGAGTTCGCAGGTGCCGGGGGCGTGGCCTTGAGCCGGAGCAGGCGGGGCCAAGCTCCGCGGGGGATGGGGGCGTCTCCTTCCTCCCTCGCTCGCTTGCTCGCTCCCTCCCCCTCCCTCCGGACGGGCCCCCTTACCCGTGGCGGCCGCTTCGCTGGCCGCGCTCCAGCGAGATGAGGTAGGCGGCGAGCTTGGCGTCGCTCCAGCCGCTGCGGCGCCGCAGGTCCACCCAGGGCCCGTGCGCCTCGCCCAGGTACACGCGCCGCACGTCGTACTTCTTCCGGGACTCCAGCCGCCGCCGGGCTCGGTCCGACTCCGTAAGCCGCGGTCGGCCCCGCGCCTTGCGGCCCGCCGCTCCCTCCTCAGCCGCCGCCTCCCCGCCTGCGCCCGCCTCAGCCTCCGCCTCCGCCTCGGGCTCCGGCGCCCGCTCCGCCATCCCCCCCACCCTAGTTACCAGCCTCCCCCGTTGTTAGGAGCCCGACCGGAAGTGGCGCACATCTTCGGCGCCACCGGGAAATTTCTCGCGGACCCTCACTGACCGGCAGCGCCAAAAGGAGAACTAGAGCAGAATATGCGCATGCGCTCTCTCTACCCGCCTCTTTTCGTTACTTTTCAATTTCCCTTGGAGAGCGTGAAGTTCCTGGCAGTAGAGCTTGTAGGCCCGCCGAGTGGGAGGGATCCATCGCTGACTCCCCAGCATTTGCGATATTTAAGAGGGGTTGCTTCACAGCCAAGGAGGGAAGACAGCCCCAAGCAGGAAAACTTTTATTTGCTGTACACTCAAAGGTCATCTTGTGCTTTCGCACCAGTCTTCTGCCTGTGCCCTCCTGCCCGCTCACACTCAACTCCCGCCCTGCTGCTGTCGCTTCCGGTGATCTTCTTCTTCCTCCTGGACCTCGCACAGGGGCCGGGGTGGCTCTTCCAGCCCAGAATTTGTTAGGAGCTCCCCTGTGGACCCTGCCAGGCGGAAGATCACTGGAATCTGGGCCAGGGCTGGATTAGTCTCCTGCAGGCCCTGTATCCACTTGGCTAGTGTCGCCTGGTCGTGAGCACCTGCCATGCACATGGCGAAGATGGGTCCTTCTTCCACTGTTGGGAGAGAGGGCCCTCAGAGTTAGCGGTGGGATGTAGCGGCTTCCCTACCCATACCTCTTCGAAGTACTTTGTGGTGAAGACCTTTGCACAAGTGGTCCCTCACATAGACTCATTACGTGGGCCATGCCTCCTGCTTCTTCCAGGTTCTGCCAGGAAGCCTTCCTGAATGCCCCCACTTGAGGCTGGGTGGCATGTTTCTCCCCTGAGCTTCTCAAAATGTAACTTGCCTGTCTCCCCACTGACTCGTGGACTGGGTCTGTCCTGATAATACCCAGTCACTAGCACAGAAGTGCTCCTTAAATTTGACATGGAGGGAGGGAAAAAACCAAGGGATGACAGGCCTGAGTGGCCTCAGTTCTAGAGCCCTAGGGGCACATTACATGTATGAGGGAGTGGGTATATAGGCTGTGTCTCAGCCTGGGACTCCAGAGGTCACACCTCCCCTTGTGTTGGGTCCTGCGTTTTTAGATGTGTATGTGGTGTTGGCCATTGAACAGGCCCTTGTGTATGCTAGGAAAGCACTCTACCATGCTCAAGTTTTTACCTTCATCAATGTCAAATTCATAGTCATCCCAGCCACTTCTTGCATAGTCCAGGTCCAGTTGCATTGGGTAGTAGAGGTTCCATTCCTCTGGAATCTCTTCCACTTTCTACCTCGAGAAGCAGGGTACAGGCAGGGTCAGAGGCCCAGGATCTAGTAAAGGAGGCCTAGCCTCCCTTTCTACCAGCCCACCACCCATGCTTAGACTCTTACCCTCTCTTCAGGGGGCAGCAAGTCAGCTCTGAGGATGTGGTAATACACACACTTGCTGCGGAGCCACAGGGAGAAGGGACCCTCAACGAAGATAGGCCGTGCTGGGTTATGGTGGGCCAGAGCTGCTTGCTGATCGGGACTCTGGATACCTGGTATGGACACACATGTACCCTGCTGTCCTGAGAGGCTCTGCCCACCCAGCAGGCCTGGTAGAAGCCAGAAGTGGCTGGGACAGGTCAGTGGCCTGGTGGCTTCCCCATGCTTGGGTCCTTACCTACGATGTGTGGCTGGACGGGATCTTCTGTACCTGTCAAATCATCAGACAAAGGCATCTGCGAAAAGGATCGGGGTAGAAGCCTGTGACCCTCAGCCTCTACAGAGGCGGCCAGGAGAAAGAAAGGGATGCCAGCAAATCCAGTACTCCTCCATGGGGTCCCTTACATGTCACTAAAAACCCATCCTCACGACTGGGGTTGTAGCTCTGTTAGAGCAATTGCCTAGCACATGTGAGGCACTGAGTTCTATCCTCAGCACTACATAAAAATAAATAAAATTCTCTCCTCCTTTCTATCCAATTGGGCCAGAGCCACCAACATCAAAGACCTTCACAGCAAGGGAACCCTGGAGCTAGCCCACTTATGTTAAAAATCCTGGCTCTGTCACAAGCTGCATAACCTCAGCCTTTCGTTCCTCCCAAGTGTAAAACAAGGACAATAATGGCTCTTCAGATGGTACTAAAACACTGAGTGCCTGGCATGGAACAAGTGCTTAGGGCTGGTGAATTAAAGAAAAACAGCCAGGCATAAGATCAAAGCCAGCCTCAGCAACTTAGTGAAACCCTGTCTCAAAAAAAGGAAAAAAAGAAAAATAATTCACATTCAGATATCTCAAGAAGGAGACATGAAAAACAAAGGACAGTGTTCCAAAGTGAGAAGGAACTCCCTTTTGTATCTTTTCAAAGTTTATACCCTGAACATAATTTTAAAAACACAACAAAATAAAACAATGTTTTGCAACATCCACAATTCTTTGACTAAAATACCAGTCCGAACAACATTTGTAATGCATATTGTGTGTCCTTTCAAGTTATAAAATGAGCTGAGATGGATCAATGTCTCCCAGTCGTGATTTTCCCCACTTAGTGGTGCTGTGAATGTAATGGAGGGCCCTGTGCATGCAAGGGAGTCTCTCTACCAAGGAGCTAAATATCCCCCCAGCCCAGTTAGACCATTAAGTAAAAAGAACAAAAGGCGAGGTATAGAATATGTATATAAAATGCTCTCCCAACCAGGCATGGTGGCACACACCTGAAATCCCAGCTACTCCAGAGGCTGAAGGAAGAGGATGGCAAGTTTGAGGCCAGCTGGGCAACTTAGCGATTACCCTGTCTCAAAAAATAAAATTAAAAGGGATGTAGCTCAGGGGTAGACTAATTGCCAGCTTTTGCGAAGCCCAGGATCCAATCACCAGTACTGCAAAAACAACAAAACCAGGTGAGGCCTTGGGGGAGGTCATGGGGTCACTGGAGGCATCACCCTTTGGAAAAGACCAAATGTAGTTCTTGCAGGACTGATATCCCAGATTGGTTTCCACCCAGGTCTGGATTGGTGCTCTTTAATGTGGGTTGTTAAAAAATAAGTGAGGCTGGCCCCTGAATTTCTCTGCCTTTCTGTATGATTTCTTCTGCGTGTGCTTCCACCATAAGCCAAACAGATGGGAGCTGTCTGATCTTGGATTTTCAACTTCTGAAACTGCAAGCTAAATAAACCTCTTTTTCTTTTTTATTTTTGGTACAGGGAATTGAACCCAGAGGTGCTCTGCCTCAGAACTACATCCTTAGCCCTTTTTATTTTGAGTTAGAATCTTGCAAAATTGCTAAAGTTGACCTCAAACTTGGAACCCTCCTGTCTCGGCCTCCTGAGTTGCTAGGTTTACAGGCATGTGCCATTAAGCCCAGCATCGTTTTTCTTTATAAAGCACCCATGCTCAGGTATTTTGTTATAGCAACAGGAAAATGAACTGATGCATCCAATCTACAATATTTTGTTATAGCAGCCAAATGGATTCTAAGAGGTCAAGCTGTGGCAAGGAGTAAGGGCCATGGGAATCTACTGGAGGGCTCAGCCAGGCAATCAGTCACTTAGGTGGGTGAGGGGACTACCAGGAGCAACAATGTGACCCAACCAGGGGCAAGAGTTGCTGGAGTGGACAAGAGTAGATACCTGGTATACTGTGATCCTGGCACTGAGGTCAGGTTCTATGTGCCGCAGGCCCAGCTTAGCCAGGTCCACGGGGTCCTGGGGCAGGTCACGGGGCACAGGGAAGGGATTGATGTTCTTGAAGCGGGTGAGCCATAGCCGCATACGCAGGTACTTGAGCATGGGGTAGCTTTTGCGTCCAAATATCTGGATCAGCAGAAACTCTGTCTCTTTGTTGGGCATCACTCCTGTGCCAGGCAGATGCAGACATTACCTCAGGGAGGGAGGGAGAGGAGTGAAAGGGAAGAGGAAGATAGAAAACTGAAGTCAGGGGACAGATAACAAAATCAAAGGGAAAGTCAGAAGGAGGCAGGAAAAGGACGAGAGAGAGAAAGAAGTGGAGCCATGGAGTGATGGAGGAGCCCAAGAACTGGAGCAGGAGGTGGCCTGCTGTGAGGGTCACCCACTGCCCCACCCTGAGCTGTGCCCAGGCCTCACCGTGATTCTCCATCTGCTCCAGGACAGCAATCCCACACTCCTGCTGCCGAGGGTAGTGGAGGAAGATGCGCTGGATGACGCTGCGAGGCCGGAAGACCTCTTTGGGGAAGATGTCCAGGAGCAGGTTGTAGACGGTCAGATCCCGTTCAACGCCATACTCCCGCATCTTACGCAGGGCCAGGTAGATGAAGTCAACGTGGCCACGCTTGCGCACGTTGTACTGCCCAAAATTCTGCACAGCCCGCACAAAGCTTGCTTTGTCTCGCTCCCCACCTGGTTCCTGCCTAAACAGCTCCTCATGGGGCGCCAGGGCCTTAATGGGCTTCTTCGGGGGCTCAGGTGGATGAGGAACCAGTGACATTTCAGAGTTGTGGGTAGTTGTACTACAGTGGAGGCCCCGCAAGGCCTGGGGGAGCACCTGGGGACAGAGGACAGCTGCTGTAATCTCTTTCCTGAGAGGCCCTTGGCATCTTGAGGGTCTCTGAGGAATACGGTAGTGGGTTACAAACCCAAGATCAGACACCAATACAGAGTGACAAAACACAATGCAGGAGCAATACTGACAGTCTTCCCTGCCAGGAACTGTTGAGCCATTTTTTATGAACTTTTTTTTTGCAGTGCTGAGGATCAAACCCAGGGCCACACACATACTAAGCAAGCAATGCAGTCCTCGAGCAGGTTATAAATGTGAGGCTCATTTAATCTTTACAACTGTCCACAAGAGGAAGCATTTTCATGTTCATTTTACAGATGAGGAACTGAGGAACGGGAAGATGAAGTGGGATGCCTGGGACCACATGGCTGCAAAGCAATAGAGTGAAGACTGGAGCTCTCCACTCTCTACTCTGCTGCTGCCCCCAACAGCCAGTCCATGTCCTGATTAAATCAGAT